TTCTGAGATCATTGTAGATTCACATGCAGTTGTAAGAAATATTACAGAAGGATCCTGTGTAGCATTCAGCCAGTTTTCCGCAGAGGGATCATCTTCCAGGAGTCCCTGGGTGATTGCACCATTTTATATTCCCACTAGCAATGTATCTGGTATCTCCACATCTCTGTCAGTATTTGGTGTTATTATTTTTTATTTCAGCCAGTCTGTTAGGTGTATAGTAATATCTCATTGTGGATTAAATTTGCATTTTCCTAACGGGTACCCAAAAGGTCTCTGAGTGGCACACATTGTTTGCACTCGACCACTAACCTAAATGTTGGCAGTTCAAATCCACTCAGCAGTGCCACAGAAGAAAGGCCTGGTAATCTGCTTCCATGAAGATTACAGCCAAGACAACCCTATGGAACAGCTCTGCACTAACATATGGGGCTGCCGTGAGTCAGAATTGACAGGAAGGCAAAGGGTTTGGTTTAAAGGGTACTGATGTTGAACATCTTCTCCTATGCTTATTTGCCATCTGCACATTCTCTTCGGTGAAATGCCTCTTCACGTCTTTTACCCATTTTCTAATTGCAGTCTTTGGCCTTCTCCTGTTGCATTTTGAGAGTTTTTACAAAACGAATTCTAGATAGTAGTCCTTTGTCAGACATTTGGTTTGTCAGTCTTTTCTGACTTTGTTTGTAGCTTTGTCTTTTCATCCCCTTAACAGAGTCTTTCACAGAGCAGAAGGTTTTACATTTCATAAGGCTCGATTTGTCTGTTTTTCCTTTTATGGATTGTGCTTTGGTGTGAAGTTTAAAAACTCTTTGTCCAGTCCATGATCCTGAAGATATTCTCCCTTTTGTTGCCTCTAAAAGCCTAATCGTTTTATGTTTTACATCATAGCACATGTTGAGTTAATTTTTATAAGACGTGTACAGTTTAGGTCAAAGTTATTTATGTTTGCCTCTGGATGTCCAGTTGCTTCAGCTCCCTGTTGTTGAAAAGGCTGTCCTTCCACTATTGCATTTCCACCTCTGTCTCCATGTTTTTATAGCCCTTGGTGGATTTAATAACTGTGCAAGAAGAAAGCCAATAGAATTGATTTTAATTATACTACTATCTCTGGGTAGTTAAGAAAATTACGGAGTTCTCTTTCATTTCATTTATAGTATTAGCTTTTATTACAAAAACAAAACAAAATCCTTGTTCCCACAACCCAGGGGAAGCAGTTACCATGTTGGTATATTTCCGTTATCTTCTTCTATGCAGTTATAATATAGTAGCGATCACACCGTAAGTTTGTTATTCTGTTTTTTTTCCCTCTCAACGTAACATGTTATGAGCAGTTTCTCATGTCACTAGAAATTTCCCCTAAAACTTGTTTCAAACGAACTCCCTATATTATCCTATAGGTGGGTAACATGTATTATGTATTATGGATGTACTATAATTTACTACATCTATTATGTATACTAAGGAGCCTTGGTGGCATAATGGTTAAGCACCCAGTGGTTAACCGAAAGGTCAGCAATTTGAACCCACCAGCCGTTCTGGGGGAGAAAGATGTGGCTGTCTGCTTCCGTAAAGATTTCAGCCTTGGAAATTCTATAGGGCAGTTCTACTCTGTCCTATAGGATCACTGAGAGTTGGCATCGACTTGAAGACAATTGGTTTGGTTTTGGTTTATTATGTATACTATTTATATTATTATATTTTTTATGTATAATGACTACCTATCTTATAGATGGATAATATATATGTCTTAGAAGTATACTATATATGTAAATATATATCTTACTATGAACTACGTATTTACTGTATTTAAATGTACCATCAAAACCAAACCAAACCAAACCCGTTGCTGTAGAGTTGATTCTGATACGATTCTATGATTCTCATAGCGACCCTATAGGACAGAGTAGAACTACCCCATAAGGTTTCCAAGGAGCAGCTGGTGGATTCGAACTCTCGACCTTTTGGTTAGCAGCCAACCTCTTAATCACTGTGCCACAGGGCTGCATATATACCATGGTTACTATATATGAGTGTCGTATATTACATTATATACTATAGAAGTATTGTAATT